TGGAAAATACTGTAAATTGATAAACTGTTCGTCGTGATGACGTTTAATGTCTCCGACAGCGCCTGTAGTCCCATTTAGCAACTTGTTAGCAACCGTCTTTTTGAAGAAACGTAACAGTTTAAAAAAATCACGAGTGGGGTGTAACTGGCATGTTTTATGTCGTAGAATAAAACGTGAAAGTATCTTGAGCTTGTGTGAACCACGGACCTTATTTTAGGGGATTTAATCAAACTCCCATTCAAAAAACCCATTGACTCTGGGACGATGGAAGTGCTAAAATGCTAACTCGCTTCCGGGTTTTTGCCTACAAAGTGACATCATAGTTCCACCAATCTATTGATAAGCAATATAGACGTTGCCATGGACCTTTTTCACATTTCCGGGTTTCTCAGCAGCGGAAGTCGTCATAGTTGGGTTAACTTGAAGAGCAGTGAATGGGAGAGTACCACAAATATATTTTTTGCATTCCCATTTGCTCAAATAGCAAAAGAAAAACTCCACGATAGTGTTTTCATGACAAAAAAAATGAGAGAGACTGATAACAGCAGTCAGAAGAGAGAACGATGTCAAATTTACCATCCCTCTCATAAGACGCTGCATTAGAAACACCCTCGCATTCGTTAGACTGCACCCCATAAACACAATCAAGCCTAGAAAAAAAAAAACAGTCAACCACCCCTTTAAAGACTATTGCTCTAAATTTTTATAATTTTCTTGTATTTATTATTATAGTATAATATTATTGCTTTTACTGTATTCTTAACTGTATTTTTTGAAGCAATGTCTGGAGCTATCCTAAAAATGCCCTTGTAAAATGACCTGTGAAATCGTTTAATAAGGTGACAGGAGTCTCATCTGGAAAACAGCAGCATGTAATTGGGTGAAAATCAGCACCTGGGGAATCTAAATGGTCTTTGATTGAAGAATGTCTGATTTGCCAAATTGTGACTGCAGGCTATTTGACCTCGGATATTTGGGTCTGACTTCAATGATTTGACCTCTTTTTGTTTATACTAAATGCTCCAAGTATGTGACGTGGATCTCTCACCGGAGTAATTCAGCATTTGATCAGCAAAGATTAACAAAAACTAGCACAGACCCCAGGGAGACAGATCATTATGAGCTCCAGTCTGAAAATGTCACAGTGACTAAAGATCGATTCCATTAAAGATCTGCTCTGTGTGTGTGTGTGTGTGTGTGTGTGGAGCTAAAGAGGCTCAGTCAGCCCATTGCCATTAAATAGCCATTATAATGTGTCATAAAAGCAAGAATTTACGTAAGACAAACATAATATTAAACTGGCCATCATTGTTCAGTTGAACGACCATATTATAAATCAAACCAAGCATGGATCTTTTGATGACACCCATAAATTACATTTCGTCAGTTCTTCCATTCAGAAACAAGTCCAAGAAATGCCTTGGAGGGCCATGCTGGCTGACTGGCTTTTTTCTTCAAAGATATTTGAAAGACAATTCAAGAGTTCAGGATGTGTGCCACTGCGTTTGAAGTCTCTTCTGTAAATGTGTCTGAAATATCTGATGTGTTCAGAGAAACCACTACACTACAGTACACTACAGTAGTTTGACTTTCACTGCGATGATTTTCTGTGTTCGCCATTTTAATTATTTAAAATACACTGCAAAGGGTTAAAGAAATACTGTATTTGTTCTTACGTGTTTGTAAATGACTTGTAAATTAAACATTTTTTAAATTAACATCAAACAGCATTTGTAACCCATTTTAGTATCATGATGTGATGCATTTAAACAAGATATTCAACAAGAAAAAAAACATGTAGAGCAGTTAATTAAAATTGAGACCAGCGGCCAGGAACCTGTTAGGAAATGAGTTGTGAATTTTGCTCTCATTTCAACTATTAAGATAAGATGATTCTCATTAGATGAATTATAAAATGAGATTAAATATGCAACATAACTTTTAAGCATCAACAAATGTACTTTTCTTCATGAAAGTGAAATTCTGCGCAAAGCCAATCAGAGTTTAATAAAAAAATTATTTCAGTAAGGTAACACTATACAATAAGGTTACATTCTTTAACATTAGTTAACTCCATGAGTTAACATAAACTACAATGAAAAATACTTCTTAAGAATTTATTACTCTAAGTTAATGTTGATTCCAACATTTACTAATACATTATTAAAATTAAAAGTTGTATCTATTAATGTTAATTAATAGACCTGAGGTAACATGGACAAACAATGAACAGTTGTATTTTAATTAACTAAGTTAACAAAGATCAATAAATATTGCAACATGTGTATTGCTCACTGTTAGTTAATGCATTAAATACAGTTAACAACTTTATTGTAAAGTGTAGCTTTACAATAAACAACTTTATTGTAAAATAAAATAAAATAAAATAAAATAAAATTAAATTAAAAGTCCACTAAAGAATGTATGGAAAAATACAATGGAAGTCAATGAAACTGTGATTACAAACTTACTTCAATATATCTTCTAAATATCAAAAGTAAGAAAGTTGGTAACACCTCTGTTTTGGGACCACTTCTCACTATTAACTAGTTGCTTATTAGCATGCATATTACTTTCATATTGGCTGTTTATTAGTACTTATAAAGCACAAATTAATGGCTTATTCTGCATGAACATATTTTAGATCCCTTAATCCTACCCCATACCTAAATGTAACAAGTACTTTACTAACAATTAATAAGTAGCAAATTAGGAGTTTATTGAGGCAAAAGTCATAGTTAATAGTTAGTTAATAGTGAAAATTGGTCCCCAAACTAAAGTATGACCAGAAAGTCATACCAGGGTGAGTAAATGATGACAGAATGTTCATTTTTGGGTGAACAATATCATTAAATTAAAGTAAACTTTAAATTATTAAATTTAATTTGTAATAAAATAAAATAAAATAAAATAAAATAAAATAAAATAAAATAAAAACAAGGACATGTGATGCATCTGGTGGCCTTTACCTTGATGTTGCTCTCTGCAGCAATGAGGGAGGCCTGCAGTTTGTGGGATTTCTCCCTGCTCTCCCTGGCCTCCTCCTGCACCCGCTGCAGTTCACTGCGCAGCTTCCCCAGAGTCTTCTGCAGCGCCGCTTCCTGCGCCTGGAACTCCTTCCTCAGCTCGGCTTCGGTCTTCTTCCAGGCCAGCAGGTTCTCTGCGGTCATCTGCTGCGTGCGCTTCATGGCCTCCAGTTCCCGTTCATAGAAAGCCTGGGCTTTATTTAGCTTGGCCTCGTACTCCTCCACCAGACGCTTCTTGTCCTGTTTCAGTTCCTCAACTCTTTCGGTCAGTGAATCCACCTCCGCTTTGTGAAGCTGTCCCAGTTTCTCTTGGTCTTTGCTATAGTTGGCATTCTGGCTTTGGTGTGAGCGAAGCAGTTCTTGGACCTGTGAATACAACATTAATTTGAGTTTTTTTAAATGGATGCAAAACACTTCCTAATGCTGCTTCCTAACCAGTCACAAACAATTTGTCTGTTACTGAATATGAAAATGCTACAGAGAATGACACATTTACAGCCAATTGTCAGTTATTTGATGTTTAATGTACAGTTGTCAGGGCAGAATTTTGACAAATACAAACTTCATTACTGTAGTGTAGCCTGTGATTTAAGATTTAAGCTAGCAACCTAAAGGTTCAAACCCCACAAGGGTCGGTATATGAACTTTGGCCACTGTGACCTTGACCATGGCACTTAAACCAAGGCTGCTCCAGAGGTACTATCCATGTAAAAACTGTAATGTTAATCAACAAAAACAGATAAGCAAATGAGTAATTATTAAGCTAATTTACCCAAATATAAATAAATCCATCTTAAAAATTTAAATAAATAAATAAATAAATAATTGTTTTTCTTAACATATTTTTGTTTTACTACCATTTAATAATAAAAAAATTAAAAATTAAAAATTAAAATAAATATATATTTTTTTAAAGTTTGGAATTCTTTGAGGTAAATTAACTTAATATATTTCTATAGACTTTAGTGTTCTATAGACTTATAGACTTTTATGTTCTATAGACATCCAGATTAATCAATCTGATAATGGAATAAATACAGCCTAAAGCGGAACATGAGTTTTTCATTTTACTATGTAATTTTTATCACATGACTTGAATTATTTGTGAATTACAAATGTAAGTTAGTCAACCTCTTATATTCAGAACAAAAATCTTTATTTTTGGGCAATAGTGAATATAATGAGCATGAGCACAAATTCAGCTGTGTGAATGACCGGTTCAGAGTATGTGAGCGGAGTGGAGCGCCAACAATTTCCCCTCCGAGCATTCAATAATCACTCTGCTCTGGGTTCACCATTTCCTGCTCCCGGTCCACTCCTCGCTCACTGATATCAGAAACACCGCTCCACCTTCGCTCCATGACGAAAATTACGGCTAAAGTATTTCATTATGTTTTGAAATATCACAGAAGTTCTGTTCATAACATATATTAAAATAAAATAAATAAAATACAAGGAGAATAGTTTCAAAGTGGCTTGTTTGAAACATAGTGTGCAAACTTTTTTCCTACCACATGCCAATGTTGCATGGTTGTCAGCATTAAAAGGTATCATTGTTGCTTTTTGCAGAGCAAATTTTGTTTGTGAAGAATGAAAATAACAGTACATTTTCATCAGTTATTTTATCTACGGATCGCTGCATTTCTTACAGATTTCTGCTCATTCGAAATCGGATGTACAGATGAAGTAGCACTGTAAGATTACATTTGTTTGAATGCATTATTGAGAGAGCGATTGCGTGTGAATAAGTGCTGTACCTGTTTAAATCATGCTTTCACCAGAAAATATTCAGTAGCCTATCTAGAAGGAACAAACAAACTCCTTGAGAACTATAACTTCCCGCGCTCATGTCCATTGCTATCGTCATAACCTTCACATTCTTTCTGATTTGAGTGATCCATCTGTATCAAGCTAGCTAAATATGTTTAACATGTGAATTCTTGCTAAATATGCAGATATATTATGGGCCATTGGCATGAATTGTGCTCGTGATGGAGCGGTCTTGGGGCGAGTGAAAACCATGACGCTCCGACTTTTAAAAAATCCGCTCCTCGCTCCATTCAAAATCACACCGCTCCGCTCACATACTCTGAAAGTCAGCAAGTTTAATAATTTAACTGAAAATTAAGAAAGAAAGAAATGCGACCCTAGACCACAAAACCGGTCTTAAGTCGCTGGGCTATATTTGTAGCAATAGCCAAAAAAACATTGTATGGGTCAAAATGATCAATTTTTCTTTTATGCCAAAAATCATTAGGATATTAAGTAAAGATCATGTTCCATGAAGATATTTTGTAAATTTCCTACCGTAAATATGTCAAAACGTAATTTTTGATTAGTAATATGCATTGCTAAGAACTTCATTTGGACAACTTTAAAGGCAATTTTCTCAGTATTTTGATTTTTTTGCACCCTCAGATTCCAGATTTTCAAATAGCTGTATCTCGGCCAAATATTGTCCTATCCTAACAAAGCTTATTTATTCAGCTTTCAGGTGATGTATAAATCTCAATTTCGAAAAATGTACCCTTATGACTGGTTTTGTGGTCCAGGGTCACATATTACGTTTACATATTAACGAATTACATATTAAGTTTAAATATTCAAGTTTATTAATTGTACTGTATGTTCACAACTGTAATGTAAAATTGTTGTTATGATGATGATGACAATTTTTTAAATACTTATTTTTTATTTTACAGTTAAATATTACAGTAGTAATATTGTTAAATAGCTACATTTAATAATAATAATAATAATAAATTAGTAGTAGTACTATTTTATAGTCATACTGATATATAATCACAAAAGTCTGGCAAAATTGTGAAGCCCTACAAACCTGGAATTTTTTAAATCACATTTAAAATCACATCTTTTTTTAATCCTAAAAATGGGAATTCGATTTTGCCCTTGGATAGACCTACATTTTTACATGTAACCACAAAAACTGGTAGACGCACCTCCTGCCGATGTGCGGCATGTAGCTCCTCAAGAGCCTGCTGTTTCTCCTGCTCAAACTGGGACTGCAACTGTCCAAAGGAGCGGAGCTTCTCCTCGAAAGAGCGGCGCATTTCCTCCACCTCGCGGGACATGGTGACCACGCGCTGCGTGTGCTGCGCCTCCGTGCACAGCTGCATGTCCTCCACCCGCTGGCGGTACGTCTCGAACTCCGTCAGGGCCTGCCGCTTCATCCGCTCGTGCAGCTCCATGGACTCCTCCAGAGACTGAATGCGCCGCTTCAAGTCCATCTCGTCGCTGATCTTGCTCTTGTACTGCATGATCTTCTCCCGCGTTTCCGAGAGGATCTGCTGCACCTCCTCCTCGTGGGCCTCCTTCAGGGTCTGGATGGCCGCCTCATGCTCGTCATTCTTGGTGTTGAGGGCGTAGATCACCTGGAGAGGCGAAAGGATGGAGAACTCATTGCAAATGAGACTCATAAGTTAAATCAAATAATAGTTGCATCATCTTCTAGATCCTTCTAGGAAACAAGAATATGTGTTTGCTCAGTCCATGACAGATTAAAATGCCACAGAACAGAACGTAATGTTAAAGGTTAAGTGAACACTGTTTTGCTGATCTAGAGCGTTTGTTTTCAATGCATTACACATGTAAAGCCAAACCAAGGAGCTGATGCATTTTCATTGACTGACCTTTAAATCCAGAAGATTTATGTCCAGCTCATACAGTGGTGTGAAAAAAAAACAGGAAGGGGGCAAAAACTTTTTCACACCACTGTATATGGGAAAAGCTTTTCCATTATACTTTGAGATGTTATATTTATAGGGTAACACCTTATTTACAACAAAACTTTTCTGTTTCTCGCTATACTTATTCTGTGGTGGTTGTAAAGTGTACATTTGACATCAAGTGACCACAAAAAGTACCAAAACTGCACATCAAAAAAATAATAATAGGCTTGACAACATGTGAAAAATATTAGCATGATATAAGCTGTATAAACATTAAACAACTACACAAAAACAAACAATTTTCTTTGTAATATTTTCATTCACCTTGCATATTTTTATTCATGGTTTTTGAAGATGAAGTATGTCAGTTAAAGGGTTACTCCACCGCAAAATGAAAGTTTTGTCATTAATCACTTTACCCCCATGTCGTTCAAAACCCGTAAAAGCTTTGTTCGTCTTCGGAACACAATTTAAGATATTTTGGATGAAAACCGGGAGGCTTGTGACTGTCCCATTGACTGCCAAGTAAATTACACAGTCAAGGTCCAGAAAAGTATGAAAGACATTGTCAGAATAGTCCATCTGCCATCAGTAGTTCAACTGTAACGTTATGAAGCGACGAGAATACTTTTTGTACGCGAAGAAAACAAAAATAACGACTTTATTCAACAATTCGTCTCCTCTGTGTCTCTCCGCATCACCGTAGCG